TATTTTTATAAAAGCAATTATTGAAATTAAGGGGAATTTGAAATATTCCGAAAAATTCGCTTTATAAAAAATTTTTCAAAAATTTCTTTAAACAAATTGAAACTTTTTACATAAACTTTTTCAAAAATTTTTTTATAGAAAATTTTTTGAACGTTTGTCTTTTTGTAGAGATCTTTTCGAAAATTTGTCTTTTTATAGAAAATTTTTCGAAAATTTCCATTTTTATAGAAAATCTTTGGAAAATTTCCATTTTATATAGAAAATTTTTCGAAAATTTCCATTTTTATAGAAAATCTTTGGAAAATTTCCATTTATATAGAAAATTTTTCGAAAATTTCTATTTTTATAGAAAAATTTTCGAAAATTTATCTTTTTATAGAAAATTTTTCGAAAATTTCTATTTTTATAGAAAATTTTTCGAAAATTTCTATTTTTATATATAAAATTTTTTATAGAAAATTAGTCCGTAAAACAGAGAAATTTTCTATAAAAAATTAGTCTGTTAAGCTGGACTTTAGTCTGTTAAAGACTGTTATAGACTGGACTATAGTCTCGATTATAAACTGGACTATAGTCTCGACTATAAACTGGACTATAGTCTCGACTATAGACTGGACTATAGTCTCTACTATAGGCTGCACTATAGTCTCGTCTATAAACTGCACTACAGTCTCGACTATAGACTGGACTATAGTACCGACTATAGACTGGACTATAGTATCGACTATAGACTGGACTATAGTCTCGACTATAGACTGGACTATAGTCTCGACTATAGACTGGACTATAGTCTCGACTATAGACTGGACTATAGTCTCGACTATAGACTGGACTATAGTCTCGACTATAGACTGGACTATAGTCTCGACTATAGACTGGACTATAGTCTCGACTATAGACTGGACTATAGTCTCGACTGGACTATAGTCTCTACTATAGACCGGACGATGTCTCGACTATAGACAGGACTATGTCTCGACTATATACTGCACTATAATCTCGATAGACTGAACTATAGTCTCGACTAGAGACTGGACTATATACTGGACTATAGTTTTGAGTATAGACTGGACTACAGTTGTAGTATAGACTAGCCAATAGTCTCGACTATAGACTAGACAATATTTTCTATAGAAAATTTGTGTGTAAAACAGAGAGGAATTTTCTATAGAAAATTAGTGTGTAAAACAGAGAGAAATTTTCTATAGAAAATTAGTGTGTAAAACAGAGAAATTTTCTATAGAAAATTAGTCTGTTAAAGACAATCATTTTCTATAGGAAATGAATCTGAAATTTTCTATTGAAAATTAGTCTGAGACATAAATTTTTTAAAGAAAATTTGATTCTTAAATAGAGAAATTTTGTATAGAAAATTAGTCTGTAAAACAGAAATTTTCTATAGAAAATTAGTCTGTAAAATAAAGAAATTTTCTATAGAAAATTATTCTGTAAAAAATTCTCTTTTTTATAGAAAATTTTCGAAAATGTTTTGATTAAGAATTTTTGAAAATTTTGTTTTTAAATCCAAAATTCAAATTTTTTTCTCAAAATTTTCTTTGTATTTTTAAAAGATTTTCAAAAACTGTCTTTTTATAGAAATTATCCAGAACAAATAAATTACCCATTACGGTTCTACGGTCATTATTTGCACTACAATAAGTACAAATAACAAATGATTGTTAATTATTGAAACACACTTTTAAAATCGTGCTAACTCGTATACAAGTCAATATTATAAATTGTCTAACATTAATTATTTCCAACATTAATGTTGAGAAAACATCCCTAAAATTTTCGATTTTTGTTTTGTAGTGATTAAAATAATCATGTTGGTTGCACCACCAACAACAATTTCAAAAAAGCAAAATTTATTGGCAGCTGATTTTGTTAAATAATAAATTTCGTTTATTGAGAGAAAGAAAATCTTCTAGCGTCTAGTAAAGTGCCTGCAAACAAAAGTTTATACCAAGGGTAAATAGCAGCAAAAACAACAACAAAAACAAACTGTTAAGCCCCTTTGGAAAAAGGCTTGAAAAAAAAAACAACACGTGACTTTTGCCAATTCTACGGATATTGATGGATGGATATTGTATAAACTCATACTTGTTATTAACTGGTTATTAAAGGAATAAAATTTGTAGTGTGAGAATTTTTCAAAACATTGGGAAAATTTTACACTGTGTAAAAATTGTTTGTTTTCATAACAATTAAAAAGTTTCATTGAACTTTTGCAGTCGAATTTTTAATTGGCAGTTAATTACAAAAATATTTGTTATTAAAATAAAACAGGAAAAAGGCCAAATGGAAAGGAAACTAACATGGAACTAGTTATTTAACTAATAATAAAATTGGTTCTCCTATGGATCCCTAAAAAATAAACTTAAAATACTTCTCTTTAAATTCTATTAATATTGATTATTTTATCCTTAGAAACACAATATTATGAAGTATTATACTCCTACACATGCAAGTGCATTGCAAAAGAATATGTTTTTTTACCACAACTCTTATGTTGCACATACATACATACATACATACATACATGCATACAACTGTATGAATAAATAATGTCTTTTTTCTTCAAAACGTTGCAAGCACGTACACAAACTCGTTATTATCGATTATCACCCACAGACATCAATGATTCGTATCTCTGTTTAAATGGATTAGTATCTGGTCACTCCATATGTCAATATTTAAATATGCATTATTATGATGAAACTCCCCAAAAAACAAACAATTGCACTATTTTCTTGGGAGTTTAAAAGAAATGAGTAATGGTTTGTGGAGGGATAAAAGTACATGCTAAATTTAGTACTTTAATTCTCATTTCCTAAATAATTTCCTCAATTTTGAAAACGAATTGGTACAGCAAAATAAAAACTCATCACTGATTTAAATTATATTCCAAGCTCTCTTTTGTTTTGCTTTCATTCTCTTGGATTATTTTATTTTCCAGTTTAATTGGTGTTGCTAAATTGTTGTTGGTATTATTCCGCAAATATCAACATCAACGTACTATACTTAACAGAACATACTTCTATAGAAAACTGGACTCTTAAATAAAGAAATTTTCTATAGAAAACTAGTCTCTGAAATAGAAAAATGTTCTATATAAAACTAGTCTCTGAAACAGCGATAGTTTCTATAGACAACTAGTCTCTGAAACAGAGAAATTTTCAATAGAAAACTAGTCTCTTAAACAGAGAAATTAGTCTTTGAAACAGAGAAATTTTCTATAGAAAAATAGTCTCTTAAACAGAGAAATTTTCTATACAAAAGTAGTCTCCTAAACAGAGAAAATTTGCCTCTGGAATTTTCTATAGAAAGCTAGTCTCTTAAACAGAGAAATTTCTATAGAAAACTAGTTTTTGAAACAGAGAAATTTTCTGTAGAAAATAGTCTCCAAACTAAAATTAAATTTCTGTTATAATCCAGTATATAGTCAAGATTATAGTTATTCGGTACTATAGTCCAGAAAATAGTCGAGACGATAGTCGATATTATAGTACAGTCTATAGTCGAGACTATAGTCCAGTCTTTAGTGCAGTCTTTAATCAAGAATATAGTCCATTATACAGTCAAGACTATAGTATGTAGTCGAGACTATAGTCCAGTAGTCTATAGACGACACTATAGTACAGTCTATAGTCGATACTACAATCTGGTCTATAGTCGAGACTATTGGCTAGTCTATAATCGAGGCTATAGTTCAGTCTGTCTATAATCGAGATTATAGTGCAGTATATAGTCGAGACTATAGAACAGTCTATAGTCGAGACTATAGTGCAGTCTATAGTCGAAACTATAGTCCAGTCTATAGTCGAGACTATTGTCGAAACTATTGTTCAGCCAATAGTCGAGACTATGTGCAATCTATAGTCGAGACTATAGTGTAATCTATAGTCGAGACTATAGTGCAATCTATATCCAGTCTATAGTCGAGACTATAGTCCAGTCTATAGTCGAAACCACAGTCCGGTTTATAGTCGAGACTATTGGCTAGTCTATAATCGAGGCTATAGTCCAGTCTATGGTCGAGACTATTATCGAGACTATTGTCGAGAGTATAGTCCAGTCTAATGTCCAGACTTTAGTCTAGTCTATAGTCGAGACTATTGGCTAGTCTATAGTCGAGGCTATAGTCCAGTCTCTAGTCGAGACTATAGTCCAGTCTCTAGTCGAGACTATAGTTCAGTCTATAATCGAGATTATAGTCCAGACTATAGGCCAGTCTATAGTGGAGACTATAGTCCAGTCTATAGTGGAGACTATAGTCCAGTCTATAGTGGAGACTATAGTGTAGACTTTTGTCGAGACTATAGTGCAGTCTATAGTCGAGACTATAGTGCAGACTATAGTCCAGTCTATTGTGGAGACTATAGTCCAGCCTATAGTCTAGACTATAGTACAGTCTATAGTCCAATCTATAGTCGAGACTACAGTGCAGACTATAGTCGAGTCCATAGTCGAGACTATAGTCCAGTCTATAGTCGACACTATAGTCCAGTCTATAGTCGAGACTATAGTCCAGTCTATAGTGGAGACTATAGACCAGACTATAGTGCAGACTATAGTCCAGTCTATAGTGGAGACTATAGTCCAGTCTATAGTGGAGACTATAGTCCAGTCTATAGTGCAAACTATAGTTCAGTCTATAGTGGAGACTATAGTGCCGACTATAGTCGAGACTATAGTGTAGATTTTTGTCGAGACTATAGTGCAGTCTATAGTTGAGACTATAGTGCAGTCTATAGTCAAGACTATATTCTATTATATAGTTTACACTGCAGCCTAATCTTTAGTCTAGACTATATATAGTATATTAGTCTAACTTCCTTAAAATTACGATTTTTTTGGCGAAAATTCGCACTCAATTGACAACACTTGTAGACAAGTTTAAGCATAAAACATACAAGTTTTTCGCATAAACGGGTGTGAGTGCAGCGGCAGCATATCGAGTACAAGTTTATTATTCTCTCATTTTTCGCAAAGTTATTGTACGAGTAACGGACGACTACATTCGTTGTAAAGTCGTGGCCGGCAAAAGTGTTGTATATCGGGATTTAATCACAATTATTATTACTCAGTTAATGTTAAATTAAAAGAAATATAAAAACAAATTTTGTTTAAAAATTAAACAAAAAGTAGAGATAATAAAAAACAAGTTTGAGATTGAGAAAAAATATAAATAAAATAAAAAATATTTTAATAAAAATAAAACAAAAGTTATAAAAAGAAAACATGAATTGAAGTGTATAAGAGTATTTGGTATAAAGTTATTAAAATACCGTTAATTCAACAAAATACATTTAAAAAAAACTAAACCTTTGGGATACGAACGACTACAATTGAATTTGTACGTTTTATTGCAGAAAAAGGAGTGTAAGTACCTCTTTTACTGACAACATTAGATTTTCAACGGGTGTGGTTTTTGATTATAACAAACAAAACAACAAAAAAAAACTGAAAATAATACAAAAGTATTAAATTTATAGTTTGGAGATTTTTTATTATGTAGCAAAACTTTAATAAACCACTTAGTAGGTTATAAGGATGACGAAAAAGATGCTTAACATATATTTTCTAAAAACACCCCCAAAACTATTTCGAACAATTGATTTTTCAATCCTTAATCCTTAAAATGTTGAAAACATGTGTATATCTGTATATCTGTCTATAAATAACAATAAAATGCGCTCATAGGATTTAAATTTGTCATTACATTTATCAAAACACATATAAAAAATGAAAAAAAACAGTAAAACTATCACTAACTGAACAATAAAAGGGATCAACCCTCTTGGTCCACTTTATTTATGTATGTTCGCTTTCTTATTTGTTCTTTTTATGGATATTTGTAGTACAAATGTCTGTCTGTCTGTTTGTTGTTTTGCAATTATTTAGTATGTATTCCATTTGTTAGTTCCTTTAGTCGTCCGTTTCTTTCTGCTTGATGTGACGACGATGACTCCCTTTTTTTTTTGATTTAGATACAAGAAGAAAAGAAATTCAACTACTGCAATAACTTTATTTTTTTTCTTTTTATTGCTCTTTTTTATTTTTTCCTTAATATACTGGTACTTTTTTTATTCATTCAGTTTTATTGTGTTTGGGGTGTAATTGTTTTCACTAAAAGATGTTGTCATTGTATACTTGTGGGACAATCATACAATTACCATAAAGTAAAGGAAAGCAATCAGTTGGAGAACAAATATGTAAATTGCATCAAAAGAAAATTAAGTTTTCGAAATAGTCATAATTCATTTACAAATGGGAATTTAAACGGTAACATTGTTTAGGATTCAATTAGTCAAGATGTAGAGTTTTATGATGTAGCAGTTGAATCAAAGGAACGATGCACTCATACAATCCATAGTGGAGCCTGTAGTTCAATCTATATTCACGGTTATAAAGTAAAGGAAGTCTTTAGTCGAGACTATAAACCAATATACGATTTACTCTATAATTCAGTGGAGTAGAGCCCAGAGTCCAGTCTATTGTTGAGACTATAGTCCTTTCGATAGTCGACACTTTCAGTTCTAGTTTAGTTCTAGTTCAGTTTTAGTTCAGTTCTAGTTCAGTTTTAGTTCAGTTCTAGTTTTGTTCTAGTTCAGTTCTAGTTCAGTTCTGGTTCAGTTCTAGTTCAGTTCTAGTTCAGTTCTAGTTCAGTTCTAGTTCAGTTCTAGTTCAGTTCTAGTTCAGTTCTAGTTCAGTTCTAGTTCAGTTCTAGTTCAGTTCTAGTTCAGTTCTAGTTCAGTTCTAGTTCAGTTCTAGTTCAGTTCTAGTTCAGTTCTAGTTCAGTTCTAGTTCAGTTCTAGTTCAGTTCTAGTTCAGTTCTAGTTCAGTTCTAGTTCAGTTCTAGTTCAGTTCTAGTTCAGTTCTAGTTCAGTTCTAGTTCAGTTCTAGTTCAGTTCTAGTTCAGTTCTAGTTCAGTTCTAGTTCAGTTCTAGTTCAGTTCTAGTTCAGTTCTAGTTCAGTTCTAGTTCAGTTCTAGTTCAGTTCTAGTTCAGTTCTAGTTCAGTTCTAGTTCAGTTCTAGTTCAGTTCTAGTTCAGATCTAGTTCAGTTCTAGTTCAGTTCTAGTTTAGTTCTAGTTTAGTTCTAGTTCAGTTCTAGTTCAGTTCTAGTTCAGTTCTAGTTCAGTTCTAGTTCAGTTCTAGTTCAGTTCTAGTTCAGTTCAAGTTCAGTTCTAGTTCAGTTCTAGTTCAGTTCTAGTTCAGTTCTAGTTCAGTTCTAGTTCAGTTCTAGTTCAGTTCTAGTTCAGTTCTAGTTCAGTTCTAGTTCAGTTCTAGTTCAGTTCTAGTTCAGTTCTAGTTCAGTTCTAGTTCAGTTCTAGTTCAGTTCTAGTTCAGTTCTAGTTCAGTTCTAGTTCAGTTCTAGTTCAGTTCTAGTTCAGTTCTAGTTCAGTTCTAGTTCAGTTCTAGTTCAGTTCTAGTTCAGTTCTAGTTCAGTTCTAGTTCAGTTCTAGTTCAGTTCTAGTTCAGTTCTAGTTCAGTTCTAGTTCAGTTCTAGTTCAGTTCTAGTTCAGTTCTAGTTCAGTTCTAGTTCAGTTCTAGTTCAGTTCTAGTTCATTTCTGTATTGAACTTTAAGAGAAACGAGAACCAATGGCGATCTTTTTTCAAATTGCAATAAACTGTTCTTTTGAAACCACCCTGATACACATATAGATAAGGCATAATGTTTCAACGAATACCCCCTAATACTACTGCAACAAAACTACTGTAAAACTGCATTCAAAAAACTTCACTTGAAATATTTTCAGTGGCTTAATTCTAGTACAAAACTGCTTAATACATGACCGTCTGCAATACTTTATAGTCCGTCTTCGAATAGCATTTATTATGATTAACAAGACAAAATAAATAATAAAAAATATAAAAAAACATGTTCTATTAATTGCAACATTTACAAGATAAGAACTTTAAAACTGTGTCATACTGAGACACACATAAAAAACATCGACAAAAAAACTAATTCTAATTCCTAAGAAAACAGAACAACAAATGAATAGTTAGACTGAAAGACAGACAGACGGATGGATGGACAGACAACCACGAAATAGTTGTAGAATTATTTCATTTCTTCACTTCACTTTTTCATTTATTGTTTGAATTCTTCTGGTCTTTATTTAATTGTTGTAAATTCTTTAGAAATTACAATGGTCGTTTTAATTAATGTTAAAGTTGAAAATTTTATTTTCTTTTTACAAAGTTTTTTTGTTTGGTTGTGTTTTTATTGTTGTTGGCTGGATTACAATTTTATTTTTTATGTTGTGTTTTATGGTTAGAATCTGTTTGTCCATTGACCCCTTTTTTATTTTTGTTGCAGGAAAAAATTGTTAAAAACAAAATAAGTTGGTTGGTTTATTTATATGTTTGTTTGTTATTACCATTTTATTGTATTTTTAGTTTTAGTTTTTAAATGTTACTTTTGTTGTATCATCACACTTGCAGAGTACTCAACAAAGTACTGAACAAAACATAAGCAACTTAATAATGGGAAAATAATAGTTAAAACTTTTGCTTAATTTTGGATATTGTTAACAATTTAATGATTCACTTTGCTTTGTAGCTTATGTTGTGCTCAACACTGTACTTATGTTTATACATTCGTAAGTGCATTTGTGTACAGTGCATGTATGTTCGCCTGTATGTACATCCGTTATAGTTTTTAAAATGATTATTTTTTTTCACATTTCAACTTCATTCAGCTCGTATATCAAATGCACTCAGGCATGTCTTACAAAATGTTGCAGTTTTTTTTCTCATTTTATTATTATTTTTTATTCATATGTGTGAGTAAAGTTTGTTTTAAAAAAAAACATACTTTATTATTGTAGTTAGTTTTTTAATTGTTTTTTGTGTAGATTGTTACAAAAAAAAAAAAAAAAAAAAAAACATCACACAACGCATTTACTATTGTTCTTTTTTAACAACAATCATAGAGAATAGACAGATAAATCACTGCGTCAGTCCCGTCAGTATTCGTCACTGTGACAGTGATTGTTTCATTATTTCGGTTCTTTATTTCTTTTTCAGATTCTTTGTTACATTTTCAATTGGTCTGCTTTCTTCTATTATTCATATTATTTTACATTATCTATTGTTTTTTTTTTTGTTTCTAATCAATTGATTTTTAATACTTTTAAATATCATTATTAAAGTAAAAAAAATAGATTCTAACGACTACATATTAGACTGGTTCACATTTCTACTGAGAAAAAAACGAACCTCAAAGTGCCATTACTCTTTCAATTATTCGATTTTTATTCAAACCCATGATAATCCGTTCTAGTTCATTTGTAGTTCAGTTCAAGTTCAGTTCTAGTTCAGTTCTAGTTCAGTTCTAGTGCAGTTCTAGTTCAGTTCTAGTTCAGTTCTAGTTCAGTTCTAGTTCAGTTCGAGTTCAGTTCTAGTTCAGTTCTAGTTCAGTTCTAGTTCAGTTCTAGTTCAGTTCTAGTTCAGATCTAGTTCAGTTCTAGTTCAGTTCTAGTTCAGTTCTAGTTCAGATCTAGTTCAGTTCTAGTTCAGTTCTAGTTCAGTTCTAGTTCAGTTCTAGTTCAGTTCTACTTGTTCAGTTCTAGTTCAGTTCTAGTTCAGTTCTAGTTCAGTTCTAGTTCAGTTCTAGTTCAGTTCTAGTTCAGTTCTAGTTCAGTTTCTAGTTCAGTTCTAGTTCAGTTCTAGTTCAGTTCTAGTTCAGTTCTAGTTCAGTTCTAGTTCAGTTCTAGTTCAGTTCTAGTTCAGTTCTAGTTCAGTTCTAGTTCAGTTCTAGTTCAGTTCTAGTTCAGTTCTAGTTCAGTTCTAGTTCAGTTCTAGTTCAGTTCTAGTTCAGTTCTAGTTCAGTTCTAGTTCAGTTCTAGTTCAGTTCTAGTTCAGTTCTAGTTCAGTTCTAGTTCAGTTATAGTTCAGTTCTAGTTCAGTTCTAGTTCAGTTCTAGTTCAGTTCTAGTTCAGTTCTAGTTCAGTTCTAGTTCAGTTCTAGTTCAGTTCTAGTTCAGTTCCAGTTCAGTTCCAGTTCAGTTCCAGTTCAGTTCTAGTTCAGTTCTAGTTCAGTTCTAGTTCAGTTCTAGTTCAGTTATAGTTCAGTTCTACTTCAGTTCTAGTTCAGTTCTAGTTCAGTTCTAATTCAGTTCTAGTTCAGTTCAGTTATGTTTCCTTCAGTTCCAGTTAATACATTTCTCACTACAATTTTGGGGCAGTCTAATACTCATATTTACATCAAAGATTTGGAAAAGAAATTCAAGTGTTTCAAGTGGCGATTTTTTTATTTTTTCTATTCATCAAAATTTCTCACACATTTTCTTATCATTTATATTTGTTAATTAATTCTCAAACATAATGAAAATTAAAAATACAATACATTAATTATATCTTTAAAAATTTT